CCGGCCAGACAGCTCTTGCACACCCGGAGCCTAGGCCCATTGCACAGGGTAGAGTGTCTGGTTTGAGCAGCCCATGAGGGATGTTGAGCAAGGCATCGCACAGAGTTGCCTAGTATGCAGGCTTCTCTGGGAGGCATGTTGTCCTGCATAAGGGTTGCCTGCCTAGTCTCCTTTTCCCAGAAAAACGGCAGAGGACAGGTCGAGAGCGCTTCGGGTCAAGCTAACAGCCTGATGGCGACTCTTGTACACAGTCTTGATTGGGAAGGTACAACCTCTGCCTCTATCCCTCAACATATGGGTGACCTATTTGCTTGTAAAAATATAAAGCCTTATCATTAATTAATAAAAAAAGGGGGATCTGTAGGGAGCCATCCCTGCATTCTCCATTACAATGATGGTGCCTGCAGGCACTGAATGTAAATTATTTCGCAGGCGCTGGGTAATTTCCATTTCTTTGATCTCTGCCTATCCCGTGGCTCATATGGCCTGAGGAGCTGAAGCCATTCATAGGGTGACACGTCCCAGGCGGCCGCTGCCAGCCTTTATTAAGGGACGGGATTCTTGGCTCGGGGTCTCCGCTCTGGTAAGCTTATGCTCTCCTCTCTCAAGATGCATTAAAGCTTTCCTGCAGAAGGATCCGAGTGTCCTGTGTGATTCTTGCCGGCGAGAACATAGCGCGGGACAAGTCTCCTTGCTATGTTTCTTCCTGCCTGGATCACCACTTCTCTACTACATGTCCCAGAATCCTCTTTGACTCATAGTCCTATCTAACTTGCTGTCTCATTGGCCAAACAAGTACTTTATTCAATAATCAATAAGATGAACATACACAGTACATTCCCCATCAAGGGAGGAAGGAAGAAAAGGAAAGGGTAGGGAACTTCAACCACAACTATAGAAGTTGTTAAAATGATGAATATTGTATAAAGACAAAAATTCAATTAATAAATCTTATATGGAAGAGTTAATTTGGGGACAGACACACAGATAGAGACATTGGAACTGAAGCAGAAAAATTAGTGCCTTATGTTTCTAAGTAACTGTAGCAGGCTGTTTGTGAGTGCAAACAAGCAAAAGAAATTGGAGAATAAAAACATTGTGGTCACAATGTAACCCTGCATCTGAAGGATTTACTGACAAGTTTAATTACTCAAAGCTCTTTTCAATTTAAATGACAAACAACAAAACCTCCATTAAATTTATCATTGTCCTAATGCAAAAGAGTCACTAATAAATGGCAGATCAGAGGTGAATAAGTGGCTTGGCAGTTGAAAGCACTTCTTGCTCTGCAGTTGGGTTTCCAGTACCCACTTAAACTAGCTCAAAATCTCCAGAAACTCCAGCTCCTTAGGATCTGATATCCTCTTCTGACTGATAGGGACACTGACACACACACCAACACCCCACCCCAATTAAAAATGAAAAAAAATATTAAAAAGGAATTGGTAGGGTTAGACTGGCAAGACTGCTCAGCTGGTAATTGGAAAGGTGCTTACAGCAAAGACCAATGAGGCTGAGTTTGATTCCAAGACCTCACATTGTGGAAAGAAAGAACTAACTCATTCAGGTTATCCCACACCCCCTGTACACACACACACACACACACACACACACACACACACACACTGTCTCTTTGGTTAACTTTTTTTCCCAGGGAAGCGATTTCTATTTATTATCTCTGAAAACACATACAAAACCCAGCAAATCTTAAGTGTTAGGAAAGTCAAAGGAGGAATACTGAAGGTGGGAGGGAAGAGGCTGAGAAGTGGTCAGGGAGATAGGACCGAAGAAGGGACAAATCATGGAAAGATAAGTATGTGTCAATCAAAATTTAAATGAATAAAAAATAATTAAGACACCATAATAAAGGTCTATACCTTGTTATAAAATCATTAAATTATGAAGTATATAGGATGAGACAAACACGCAAATCATTTTATAAAAGCTTGCTTCATTGTTTAAGATCTTTCCCCAAACAAGACTAGAGCTGTGTATTGAGATGTCAGACAGTCAGACAGTAAATGACAGCTCAGAGACTGAACCCCAGTGAGCATCAACACTAGGAGGTTTTTGTTTAGCCCTGGGGCACTGTGGGAGGAAGCTCCTTACTCTGCTGACAGTAATAGGTTGCAGCATCATCAGTCTCCACAGGATGGATGGTGAGGGTGAAGTCTGTTCCAGACCCACTGCCACTGAACCTGGCAGGGACCCCAGGTGCTAGGTTGGATGCTGCATAGATGAGGAGTTTGGGGGGCTGTCCTGGTTTCTGTTGATACCACTGCACTAAATCTATGCCATATTCATCTACACGATTACTGGACTTGCAAGAGATTGTGGCCTTTTTTCCCACAGACACAGGCATGGAAGCTGGAGACTGAGTCAGCACAATGTCCCCAATGGAACCTGGAATCATAAACACAGAGACCATGGTTAAACATGTTTAGAAACCTTCCCAGCAAAGGAATTTTTCATTCAAAATTTTAAGATTCATTGTGGGGCATCACTTTGAGAAACCAGAAAATCAAAAGAATTGGGGGAACTTAAAAACCAATATGCCTTAAGTCTAATGATCAAGCTACTAGAGGCATGGAAAACCACGATGGCTGTAGTGGATGCTCCCAACACTTCTCTGCACCCTCTCACCTGGCACCCCGAGCAGCAGCAGCCATGAGGGGACTGCATTTGTTTCCATCTCTGAATGCTTGAAAAGAGAATGCTTCTTAGGCTCCTGGCAGCTGACCTTAAAGTAGCCTGAGTTGTTGTATAATCACTCAATATGTAAATCAGCCCAGCAATGTTTGTGCTGGTGCTCAAAGGGGCACCTGCTCCTGTTTCACCCACTGGGAGTTGAAGTCAGAAGACAATTTACTAGAGCATGGCAAGTGTATCTTAAAGGAGCCTTGCAGCCTATTCTATTGAATCTTTACCCTGTCGTCTTTCTGAGGTGTGATGTGGGAGAGTGCACTGTGGATGTACTATGTACAGAATGGAAGTTATTTCAGGAACAAATGGAGTCTTCAAAATTGTACACACACAATGAAAGTATTATCCAAGAGGGAATGGAGGGTAAAGACTCAGAAAAGGAACATAATTTTTGGCATATTTCCTTATTATTTAAAAATCTGTGTCAGTGTGTGTGATGTTGTCCGTGTATGTTTGTGCCTGCTCTTGTTCGAGGACCACCTCCTTGCCTTGGCATGTGGGTGGAGGTAAGGGGAAAACCTTGGGTATTTGTTTTGCCTTCTGCCTTATCTGAGACAGGGACTTTTGTTCACACTGTTCCTGAAAGGCTGCCTGGCCCATGTTCTTCTGGAGATTCTCTAGTCTCAATCTCTCATCTTGCCAAAGCATCACTCTGAGTACACTCATGTGGTGCAGCTGAATCTGGCTTTGTGTGGGTTCACAGGATGTGAACCAGGTTCTCACACTTATGTGGCAAGCATGTTATTCACATAGCCACCCCAGGCCATTTTTTTTTAAAAATAAAAACACTGAAAGGAAATTCTTCAGCCTGCACATAACATAACATACTTCTTAAACATGCCCCACCCTAAGCCCTGCATCTTCATCCATTTTTGCATATATTTTAATATATATTTTTATTTATAGTGAATTCATTCTTGTTTTTTATTGACTTATAAATTAAGTTTCTATTCCTTAACATTGGTACTTTTCTTCAGTGCAGCAGAACTACCCTCTCATAAGGAAAGGACACTCAGTACCCCCTGACAGAAAGAACAGAAGATCATAGAACAGAAGATGTAAGGAACAGGGACTGCTCCTGTGTGGAATGAAACACAGATGAGCAAACAGGAATGATCATTGTAAAGTAGGTACTTGATCCTGGCCCCAAGACAAGAGATATGGCTATAAACAGCTCAGAGATGAACCCTTTAAAATGCACAGAAAGACTGAATGCACTGGGTATGGTGAAAGGATGGCCTGGCCTTTATGAAGGAGGACAAAGGAACTGATGTGTGAAAGCAGACACTGGCCTGATGCTAACATGCTGTAATTTGACCAAGAAGGATGAGGTTTACACATAGTGCAAAAAGAGTCACTGGGACAATGGCCAAAACTAGTTAATGTGATACTTTTAGTGAATGTTGTACTTGACACACAATTAAAAAAATTCTAGTGATATCTTATTTGTACAAATAATGCTTCTCTGAAGATCAGAAGATGAAACTTGCTGCTAGCTAACCACAGAGGTCAGGAGGTCTGTACAGACAGACAGGAAGTGACATGGCCACGTGGAGACAGGGAGTGAGATGGCTGGGCAGAGAGAGGATATATGCAGGAAGAAACAGGAACTCATTCTCTTTTCCACTGGGAAGCTAATGGGGTACAAGTGGCTTTGGCTTGCTCCTTCCTCTCTCTGATCTTTCAGCATTTTCTTCTAATTGTGACTCTGGGTTTTATTATTTATACCAATTAAGAACTCCAATTACACCAGGTGTTGGTGGTACACCTTTAGTTCCAGCACTCGGGAGGCAGAGGCAGGTGGATTTCTGTGACTTCGAGGCCAGCCTGGTCTACAAGAGCTAGTTCCAGGTCAGGCTCCAAAGCCACAGAGAAACCCTGTCTCGAAAAACCAAAAAAAAAATTTGGTCCACTAACACTTGGCAAAAGTTAAAGAAAATATTCTATCATCTATACTATCTTTTGTGGTTGTCCTGACCCTCGGGACAGCTACCTAGAGCAAGAAGCCCAGGGCGGGGAATGGGGACAAGAGATGCGAGAGAATGACCACAAGACAGGATTCTGATCAAGTTGCAAATTTTATTTTTTCCAGGCTAGCTTATATAGTCAGTAGTATGGGGTAAAGGAGAGGGGGTGAAGAGGCCAAGAGCCAGGTGTTAGTTTAAGCAGGATATTAGAAAACTATAGAAGGAGGATATTGGTAGGGTAAAAAGTTCATGGGTGGTAGGGAGAGGGAGGGTTACCCAGGTGAGTGGTGGGATGCGGGAGGTTTGCTTAAGTAAGTGGTCCTGTGGTTGGAACAAAGGTTTGACATCTGTGTCATGTTGTTCCTTCTGGGTGCTCATGCTTCTAGAAGCCATTTATAATCAAAAGACACTTCTATACCCCTGTGGCCTGCCAAGTTTGGCCTAAAGGTTCATGTCAAGCTGTATGGCTCCCAGCAATCTTTGTGAGTCTAAAGTTTTATATGTAACTTATCTGTTGTCATAACTAAGGAAAATCATAACCATAACTATCTGTCTTCAACTCTATCAAAGACCGCAGAAGGATAATACTTAAAGTCTAGAACTGACAGAGACATCTTGCTGCCTGGACAGTCACCCAAATTTCTTCTGTAATGCTAAGGCATCAGTCTTCAGCCTATAACCCTAGAGTATCTGGCAGACTTCTTAGTGAAGCAAGAAATTTGAAACTGTCTCACCTGTATTGGCAGTTAGTCAGTCATTTTTGTCTCTATTCTGAAAAATATCTGGAAGACTCTTCAATGAAGCGGGAACCCTTCAGGACTGTCCACCTTGTTTTGAAAGTTCAGCAGTCTCTTTCCTGTGGGTCTTGCATGTCCAGTTTGTACAGCATATAGTCAAACATTCTAGGCAAGAGCAGTTTCTTGCCAAATGGCTAGTCTTGCCATGTTGAGGGCAAACTCTATAATGAGTTTTTTCAATGCCTATCTTCCTCTCTGACACGTAATTGGTATTGCCAGGAGCAATTGTGTCTCTTTGTCTTGAAAAACCCTAATAAACCATTTTAAATGCCACATTCTGTAGGTCTTTGAAAGGTTTTGAAGACTACTTATTCAGTTGAAATATTATCTATGTATATCTAGAAAATCTAACAACCGTTAGTTTTGACTATTATAGGTTACCATCTATAATCTTTATTCAATTATATGTTACAGTTTTAAAAGAGCTGTATATACACAATATCTAAACAGGAGTAAAAATATACCTATAACAAAATGGACCTTAAATTTTTATCAATAAACCAAAATCCATATCAATGCAAAATATTCATTTCTATATCATATTACCATTTTTCCTTTAGAAAGAGATTGGCTGTTCTCATTAACCACTTACAGTTAACCCCATTTAAATGAAAAAATACTATAAACAATATTTGGGTCCAGACACAGTGAACCTATCAGAATTAATTGGTACAACTACCACTTCCTGAACATTACACCAGTAGCACAAACACTGAGATCAACAATTGATAAATGGGATCTCCTGAAAATGATAAGCTTCTGTAAATTAAAGGACACTGTCAGCAAGACAAAATGGCAGCCCACAGACTGGGAAAAGATATTCACCAACCCCACATCTGACAGAATGCTGATCTCCAAAATATACAAAGAATTCAAGAAGCTAGTCTTCAAAACACCAAACAATCCAATTAAAAAGTGGGATATAGAACTAAATAGACAATTCTCAATAGAGGAATCTAAAATGGCTGAAAAACACATAAGAAAATGTTCAACGTCCTTAGCCATCAGAGAAATGCAAATCAAAATAACTCTGAGATACCATCTTACTCCTGTCAGAATGGCTAAAATCAAAAACACCAATGACAGTTTATGCTGGAGAGGATGTGGAGAAAGAAGAACACTTCTCCACTGCTGGTGGGAGTGACAACTAATACAGCCACTTTGGAAATCAGTATGGAGACTCCTCAAGAAAATGGGAATGTATCTACTCAAAGATCTAGCAATTCCAATCCTAGGCATATACTCAAAAGAAGCACATTTATACAACAAGGACACATGTTCAACGATGTTCATAACAGCACTATTTGTAATAGCCAGAAACTGGAAGCAGCCTAGATGCTCCTCAACTGAAGAATGGATGGAGAAAATGTGGTACATTTACACAATGGATTACTACTCAGTGGAAAAAAACAATGGAATCTTGAAATTTGCTGGAAAGTTGATAGAACTAGAAGAAACCATTCTGAGCAAGGTAACCCAATCACTAAAAGACAAACATGGTATGGACTCACTCATATGCGGATTTTAGACATAGAGTAAAGGATTACGGGCCTACAATCCACACTACCAGAGAAGCTAGTAAACAAGGAAGTGCCTAAGAGATATATATGGACCCTGGAGAAGGAGAAAGGGTCACGATCCCCTGAGCAAATTGGGAGCAGGGGAAGAGGGAGCAGGGAGCTAGGAGAATGAGAAGGGGAGAAGAGGAGGGATGTAGAGGACATGAGAGAGCAGAAAGTTTCAGTCAGGGGAAGAATAGAAGATAATAAGAATGGAGATACCATAATAGAGGGAGACATTTTAGGTTTACAGAGAAATCAGGCACTATGAAATATCTGGAGTTCTATAAAGATGACACCATTATCAATCTAAGCAACAGAGGAGAAGCTACCTTAGATGCCCTCCTGTGATAATGAGATTTATGACTGACCTATATGCCACCTGATAGCCCTCATCCATCAGCTGGTGGAAGTAGAAGCAGACACCCACAACTAATCACCGAACTGAACTTGAATCCCGATGCAGAGGGACGAGTGATGAGCAAAGGGGTCCAGACCAGGCTGGTGAAACCCACAGAAACAGCTGACCTGAACATCGGGGAACTCTTGCTCCCCAGACCAATAGCTTGGATACCAGCAAGGGACTGATCCAGACCCCAGGAACATGGATTTTATTGAGGTAACCTCAGAAATCTACAGGACCTCCTGTAGTAATTCGGTACTTAT